GGGGGTTAAATAAAAACAGGATGTAATGCAAATATCAAGAAGGCCCTATTCAAAAAAATTATAATAATAAGTAATGAGGTTTAGCCACATAAGAAAGAGTGTCAGCTTTTCGATCATAGTATTATACTCCATATACCCAACATAGACGACACGTTATAATCTTTTTAAAACTTAGTTTTTTGGATTTAAATTTTAATCATAGTGAGAATCATTCATAGGATGTGTATTGTGAGAAAGAAAAACTAATAGCTTTTTCTGCACTTTCTGAAATTAATAGAATCTGTTGTTTTTTTTTTTAGAAAAAATACATCAGAGATATTAGTATTATGCTTATAAATATCTCAAAAACATTTGAAGATGTCGGACTTAATGTATTGTGGAACAGATAAATGGAGGATCAGAATAGAGTTAAGTAAGTGGCCCTCATACAAAATGTGGGCACCGAATGTCAGCTCTCTAAGGTTTCGCGAGTGACATGGACAGTTCGTTAATTTGAATTAAAAGAGATCAACAAAGGGGAGATACTCTTCTGTCAAGTCGGTTCAAAGCTTATAGTTCAAATGGGGCCGTGTTTTCTGTCGTGGTATTTGGCGTGTGTCCAAGTGCAACACACAAACATTTCTCCCATTTGGATTTACTTTTAAAGATTGCTGTTGTTGTTTTTTAATGTATCAGATCAAATGCAGTTTGTGTTCAAACTTTACCTCAATGTATTTCTAAGTTATTATCTTATATAGATTTCAATTAAATATATATCATAAAGTCCTTCAGAAGTTCAGTCCTCCAAGTTTAATATGTAATGTAACTATTTTATTTATATCTTCAACAGATAAGGTTTCTCCCCAACGTAGACGCGATTGATGCGGTAGTTTGGGCCACTCCGCCCACTGACGTCGAGTGTGCCAGCGAAGAGCTCATGCAGCCTGGACGAGGTGAACCACAGATAGCCCCTGGTGTCTATCTTCAAGCTCTCCACCCACCTGGCCCTCTCGTCATCCTGTGCTATTTCTGTCTCTGACACTAAGGTCACGCTGCTCTCTGTGGCGTATGCTATGTCCTTACTGATGTCCCATCTGAAACAACAATTGAAAAGTAATGTCGAATGATTGTCTGATCGATTTTCTGAGATTATAATTTTTGTCAACAAAGGAGGATTGAACCTACTTGTTCAATTATTTAGGAACCCAGCGGGCAAACAATCGATTAATGTTCAGAATCAATGCATTTTAACATGGTCCCCATATCGTGGTCAAAGTGTTGTGTTAGTTTTAATCCAACGTTTCCCAAACTTGTGAGTGTGCACGACCCAGTGGACACGTTTCAAAATTACAACAGGGGTCAGTGTCAGGCTTATTAAATAATGTTTGTTTTACTTGACCGTAAATATTCACGTGGGATACACAGTGGGATATATATGGTGGGATACATAGTGGGATATATATAGTGGGATACATATTGGGATACATAGAGTGGGATATATAGTTTAGTCAAAATTCTAAATATTATACACATTGTTTTCGTTCAGATTTAATTTGTTGTGTCTGGGAGTAGTATTTACACAATTGCATTGTTTTGGATCTCTACAAGTTTCATTCCGATGTGCGTTCATTAACTATTAAGGATATTTTAACAGATATTTTCAAAAAAATTGATTAGTTGTTAAATAAATCAAGATTTTTTTTGTTGAAATTTTAGTTTTTAGTGTATTGCTTAAATCATAAGGCTGTGATATATACCTGTAAACTGCATTCAATGCCAAGGCACCGTAGTATAAATTCTTCTGACCATAGAAGATGCCATCGGAGTTGGATATCTTGTTGCCGACAAATCGACGGTTCCCACTAAACCGACCGTTGGGATCCCTCAGGATAAACGTAGGGATCTGAAACAATTTCTTGCTCCCAACAGCGCAGTAGTAGACAAATTTAAACCCTGGGTCTATGGCAATACCATCCACAGGCGTGTCCGACGGGTAGGCCACGTTGTTGATGGTAATGATCTTGTCTGCGTCCGTCTTCATTGAATCGTCCGTGAACGCCCATGACTTGTTCTGAACAAAGTCGAACACGACAATTTTCAAGTTCATCGTTTCTGTGACGTAGGCGTACCGGATGTCTTTCCGGTCTCTAGTGACGTAATCCAGCACCAAGTCGTTGAGAAGGTTCGTGCGCTTCGAGACGACCTCTTCCGGGAAGTCGTGGCTCCTCACCACGGCGCCATTGTTGTTGAGATCAAGCACAACCAGTTTAGCCGGGCACCCGGTGTCCGTCGGAGCCAAACCAACCCTTCCTACATCAATGACGTACATCAGACCTGTATTCGGATCGGTGGCGGTCGAGATGGGGAACTGAAGGTTAGAACAGTTTCCGATTTCGTTGAACATAAAACTTGGAAACGGCTGTAGTAGTGATTGCCCGTGCTTCACCACGACTTTGTTCAGCCCAGAGGGGACGCCTTTGCTCATGCGCAAGACTGTGACGTAAATATCGTCGTCGTACACGTCAATGCCGGAAAGTGAATTGACGCTTGGCTCGTACCACCCTTTAGACGTGTAATAGTCTTTCACCCAATCACAAGGCCAGTCGTAGTCGAGGGTAACCCACTCGTGAATGGCTTCCGGTCCCATTCGTATCATCTCCCTGGAATGGGGTCGTTTGTAACTCCCACGGTGGTCGAAATCGCGGTACCCTCCGTTACCTGCATGTGACTTGGAGATACTGATCAGACTTGTAACGAGCAAAATGTACCACAACATGATTGGAATAGCAGGTCTTCAGCTCGCCTTATATCTGTAGAAGTATTATGTTGCATAATAAGCAAATAGTTTGTTTGGGTTTTTTTTTGTTTTTTTTGGAGTGCATCCCATAAATTATATCTTATTATATTATCTTTGGTGCACTAAGACCAGCGTTGACAACAGTCCGTAATTATTTGACCTAAAATTATTGTCCTTAACAGTCCGTAACAGCTTTCGGGTGTCCGGATAAAAATGAGCGACGGTACTAAAGGTATTTGAAGCGAAATAAAACTGGTATTCTAGTCGTTTGTGAATTGATCTTGCTTCCAATAAACTTATGTAATCATAAGCATGAGAAATTTAGCACCGATAAGAATGTCATTCAGTAAACTAACGCTACACATATAGCGTATGTGGGGGGGGGGGAGGGTTGTAATAAATTTATTGGGAGATATTCATAGTTATAAGCCATAGATTATATATTAATGATGGTAAGCTCTACAGGCGTCACACTCAATGTTAAGAATTTAACTAAGTTACACGCAATTTTAATGGAGTTGAGCTGGCAAGAAGCACTCAGACATAACCTCGTAATAACTTGTTTTTTGTTTTTTTTAAAGGTGAATTCATACTAGATGCTAAAATGGAAGAAATATTTTTTTTTTTAAATTAACGTTAATTAACTTGTCATTTTCAACTTGCCCTTATGGAGAATCCTTCAAAATTTGATAGCTGTATAACCTAAACAGTATACATTTGAGCGCTAATGTGTACCTTTCTATAGTATATTGCTTAGAAATTTGGCTTAATTGACCACAATTAAGTTAAATCGACAAAACATCCATTGACAGACGATTTTTTTTTTTATAAATGAAATTTAAGTTTGATAGAATAATGATTTAAAAAAATGACTTCTTCCTGTAATTGTATCATCGGAGTTTGACCCAGTAACGTCATTTCATTCAGTAACAATTGTTTGCCTCCTTGAAAAAAATTAGTAAGAATCCGAGTCACATTTTTATCAATGTATTTTTATAACGTGCAAAGAACCCTGGTGTGATAGAGTGCTGCAGTTAACGACATCACGTACTAGTTAAGTTATAAATTATAATTTATAAAGCAGTGAAAACAAAACATGTATAATTCACCATTGCCAGCATACATTTTTTTTTCGGAATTTTTATATCTATTTAAGTTGCCATTTATTTCTTTATTTCATATCTTTTAAAAAATTGNCCCACACACACACGCGTACCTTGACGTTTACCACAGAGAGTCAGTCTTACTCAAAGTACATTCAGCGTGAACTGCAAAATTCTGATTTATTTTAAATCCATTTATGAGAAGCTCCACGGAATGAAACCTTCTCGGCTCAACACTCAAAAAATGGCTGGAAAATTGGAGTTGAGAGCAGAGCAATTATTTGGATTTCTTACAACCAATAGACCATGACCTCCACCCACAGTTTGTTGAGGCACTTACATCACGAGTTGATAGTGGTTCTAAATTTATTTTACATTCTGGGAATGACATATTAACTATCCAGTAACGATCAGAGTGTTTTTGTTAAAACATTTTTAAAAAGAAGATTTTCAGAAATCAACCAATCTGAGTAAATATGAAATGGGTTTGTTCAAAGAAAATACGCAAAAAGTAATTGGCAGCGTGGCCACATGGAACACACGGTCCTTGTGGTCAGAAACATTGTGTTCAAAGTTTTTAATAGCATTCCTCTTGCTGTCCTCTCAGGAATTACATTGCAGCTAAGTGTTATTTTTATTTAATACTGTTTTTACTGTTGTTTGTTCGTTGATGAAGGCTTCTTGCCGACACGTTCGTCGTTTTGTCGCGTTATTTTTTTTCAGGTTTCCTCAAACTTTGTTTGACTATCTTTTTATCTAACCTGATAGCAGTCTCTACCCCCTCATTGCCATTTTAAGGGCTACCTGGTACTTTATGTCAGCGGCTCTCAACCTGTGCGTCCTGACCCCTAGCGGGTCGAACGTCCCTTACACAGGGGCAGAGGCGTAGCGAGGGTGTTTGGCGCTCGGGGACAAGATTCGCGCCCGGGGACAAGATCAATTTTAAAGCGCCCCCTCTTCTTTTTTTTCAACTCTCAAACCCATTATTTTTACAAATAATATAATATCAAAGCACATTTTGGCGCCCCTAACTAGCTGGCGCCCGGGGACATCTGTCCCCCCCTGCCCCCCATCGCTACGCCTCTGCACAGGGGTCGCCCAAGACCATCGGAAAACACATATTTATGAAGTAGCAACGAAATAATTTTATGATTGGGGCTCACCACAACATGAGGAATTGTATTAATTTTAAAGGGTCGGGGCATTAGAAAGGATGCGATCTACTCCGTTAAAGTTCAATAAGACTTACATGTTATGCAATTGAAAATTAGAATATTCGCATAACTTGAAACGCCATCACTTTTTAAAAAAAATAGTAATAATATAAAAAACTGTTTATGATATTGGGTAAAAGTTTAAATGGAAAAAAAAAAGATTTTATTGATATGTACTATGTGGGCCTTTTAATTTCATTAGTGTCGCTACACAAATATGTTTGAAATCACAGTAAAGTCTTGGAGATCACTGTGTACGATGTTTTAAGTTTAGTAACATTTTGGAAATCACTGTGTCTGGTGTGTCCAGTTTAATAATGCCATGAAGTTCACTGTGTCTTGGTGTGTCAAGTCCAATAATGCCTTGGAGATCACTGTATCTGTTGTGTCCACTCTTTAACATCTTGGAAATCACTGAATCGCTGTCGCTGTGTATTATGTAGTTGAATTGCTAGAATTTTTGACTCGGGGGGGGGGGGTCCTTGACTCTGCCGCCCCTAATTAACAAGAACCACATTGCGTAACTCACAATATTATTTTTAAAAGCCCTATAAAGTGAATCGAAAACACCTTCCAAAAATTTGTGCCACCTGGTAAGGACCGCCACCTTCGCCCCCCCCCCTTCTCTTTACCCTACGCCCATAGTCTGACAGGTCCAATCTATGACGTCTGGGAGATCACTGAATAACTGTGTCTGACGTATTTCGACTCCATCAAAAAGTCTTATTGATCAAATGAACAGGAATGTTTTGAAAAGTACACAATTAAGAAATGATCCAATGAAAGCTATGATACAGTAGATCTTCTGGAGCGTAGACAAGCTGTCCTAATCTGGAGCGTAGACAAGTTGTCCTAATCTGGAGCGTAGACAAGTTGTCCTAATCTGGAGCGTAGACAAGTTGTCCTAATCTGGAGCGTAGACAAGTTGTCCTAATCTGGAGCGTAGACAAGTTGTCCTAATCTGGAGCGTAGACAAGTTGTCCTAATCTGGAGCGTAGACAAGTTGTCCTAATCTGGAGCGTAGACAAGTTGTCCTAATCTGGAGCGTAGACAAGTTGTCCTAATCTGGAGCGTAGACAAGTTGTCCTAATCTGGAGCGTAGACAAGTTGTCCTAATCTGGAGCGTAGACAAGTTGTCCTAATCTGGAGCGTAGACAAGTTGTCCTAATCTGGAGCGTAGACAAGTTGTCCTAATCTGGAGCGTAGACAAGTTGTCCTAATCTGGAGCGTAGACAAGTTGTCCTAATCTGGAGCGTAGACAAGTTGTCCTAATCTGGAGCGTAGACAAGTTGTCCTAATCTGGAGCGTAGACAAGTTGTCCTAATCTGGAGCGTAGACAAGTTGTCCTAATCTGGAGCGTAGACAAGTTGTCCTAATCTGGAGCGTAGACAAGTTGTCCTAATCTGGAGCGTAGACAAGTTGTCCTAATCTGGAGCGTAGACAAGTTGTCCTAATCTGGAGCGTAGACAAGNTTTAACCGCCCCTATTATTTTTTTTCGTTATTCTTTTTTTTTATTTATTTTTATTATTTTTTTTTTTTGGAACAACGAAAAACTCAAACAAGCATTTCAGGACTAAAAAAAAAATATGTACGAAGAATGTACAAAAACAACAACAACTTTCCATTTATTTGGATAAATAAAAATATCTTATCACAGCTCCGACTTGAGTAGTAGCATTGACTTGAATCGTATTTTGTTTAAACTAAAGGAGGGCTGCTCAATTCGTCATCCTCACTCTCTCGTCCTTGCCTATTTGTTCCAAAGGCAAGACTTAGTCAAGACGACTGGAAATAGAACAGGATGCAGTGGATGAGTGTTTCTTGTGTCTCATCCATCCATCCATCCATCCCTGTGACGCTAAAGCCAATGTAGGGCTATGGTCTGCCTCACCACTTTCTTCCACTCAGACCTAACTGATGCTTTTTTTCCCATGCTTTTTCCCCATACCTACCTACCCAATATTATAACATTTACATTGACCACCTCCAATATTATAACATTTTCATCGACCACCTCCAATATTATAACATTTCCATTGACCACCTCCAATATTACCTAACATATCTAGCAAAGCAACAGCCCCTCCCCCCACACACACCCACCTTTTCTCATTAAAACCAAATAAAGTCCAAAAAACAATCTGAAACAAGCAAATCGCCAAAATGTTATATTTTTTTTACCAAGATGTGCTAATTATTGTTAGCAAAAATATATATTTTAGTTTTTTTTATAATCTAGGATAATTTTGCAAATTTGAAAAAGAGAAATTTCTCAAAAAATAATAATTTAAAAAAAATATACAAAAAGCAGCATAGAACCGTTCTTTAACACTGCTCTCAGCCAAACCCGACCCCATACATTGCTCTCAGCCAAACCCGACCCCATACATTGCTCTCAGCCAAACCCGACCCCATACATTGCTCTCAGCCAAACCCGACCCCATACATTGCTCTCAGCCACTGGAGCGTAGACAAGTTGTCCTAATCTGGAGCGTAGACAAGTTGTCCTAATCTGGAGCGTAGACAAGTTGTCCTAATCTGGAGCGTAGACAAGTTGTCCTAATCTGGAGCGTAGACAAGTTGTCCTAATCTGGAGCGTAGACAAGTTGTCCTAATCTGGAGCGTAGACAAGTTGTCCTAATCTGGAGCGTAGACAAGTTGTCCTTATCTGGAGCGTAGACAAGTTGTCCTAATCCTGTGCATGGAATCAAATGAGTTATTTACGAATTTGTGTTGCCTCGAGATAACATGCCAGTAGAGCAATAGTACTTTTGAGTTTAACAAAACAAAATTTTAAATTGTTCTCAATTGGTCCGGACATGTACCCAACAATTAAAATCTTTAGTGGGAATTGAATTATTCATACATACGCACACATGACACAAACTGATTGCACACACGACATAAACTGATTGCACACACGCACACAGGAAACAAACTGATTGCACACACGCACACATGACACAAACTGATTGCACACACGCACACAGGAAACAAACTGATTGCACACACGCACACAGGAAACAAACTGATTGCACACACGCACACAGGAAACAAGCTGATTGCACACACGCACACATGACACAAACTGATTGCACACACGCACACAGGAAACAAACTGATTGCACGCACGCACACAGGAAACAAATTCCATCCACACACATGGAACCAAAAATTGGGTTTATTTTTAAGTATTATGTAATTAAGCTTGGGTACCTTGCAAATATTAAGATACCAGAAAAATAGGACACGTTTAACCGCCCCTATTATTTTTGTTCGTTATTCTTTTTTTTTATTTATTTTTATTATTTTTTTTTTGGAACAACGAAAAACTCAAACAAGCATTTCAGGACTAAAAAAAAAATATGTACGAAGAATGTACAAAAACAACAACAACTTTNACCCGACCCCATGCCTTGCCCTCAGCCAAACCCGACCCCATCCATTGCTCTCAGCCAAACCCGACCCCATACATTGCTCTCAGCCAAACCCGACCCCATACATTGCTCTCAGCCAAACCCGACCCATAGAACACAATATAACATAATGAAAAGCCACCCCGAGATCCCCTTCGCGTTATATAATACGTGCACTGTCCCTGGAAATATCCCAAATTTTCAAATAACCAGTCAACGTTTGGGCGTATGGCAACAATGAAGGGGACCACCGCCAGGAGTAGATCGTGTAGTAAGTTTTTTTTAAATAGCAGAAGCGTAAGCATAGAAATTTGTCTTGACGGCTAACTATTATGCTGTCCCTATTGCCGCCTGAACACATTTGTTTCCTCTAGTGGAGTAAGTGCTCTTGTCACTCATCATGCGTTACAAAAGTTCATAATTATCCCCTAAATTTTATTCACATCAACAACAACAAAAAAAAAAGATCGTTAGAAAGGATTACCGCTTAGAGGCAAATGCACTTATAGTGGAAAGCAGGGCCGTACAAAGAAGAGGCAGCGCCAGGGCCGAAGCCTGAAAATGGCGCTCCTTGTTTCATCAACAAATGATATATAATATAAAATAAGACGATAAATGGATGATTGACTATTTACCCCCCTACCCACAACTTTTTAATGATGGAGCCCCATCTTTACATGACCCTG